TTTTTACAAAAACAACGTCGTCCTCCTTCACATCTGTTCTTTTTTTATCATCATGTATATATATATATATATATGTTTCATAACTTTAAATTCCAAAATAATGTAAAATATCAATAAATATTCCAGAATGAGAACAGAATATGTAAATTCGAATACATTTTGTAGCTCAAGAATATGCGACATGGCTTACGATTATTATTAATATTAGAATATAAAAAATATAACATAATTTCTTGTCTAAATGGTATGTAACCTAATCTATTTTCCCTTTTTTGCATGTATGTTAAATTATACTTATAAAATTTTAAATATTTGTTCTTTTATATATTAATTTTAAAAAATAACTTAAGAAAAAAATGTTTAATCGTTAAAAAATGCAGTTACGTATTATATGTCTGACAAAGTATAGGTATTCTTTCGAAATATAATATTTTGCCTTTTCAGGAACCTCCATACAGGATTTGCACTCACCTTGCTCCGCCGGCTGCTTTCAATCCACGCACTTTGGAAAGCCGTTATAAATCGCCTGTCACGAGACGAAGAGAGTACTGCGAGCCAAGGAGATGTAATGCGAAAGTCGGTACGGATTTGAAATACGAATTTATATCATGTCCCTACAATGTCGATCATGTCGTAAACAAAATTCAAGATCTAAAGAGAAATGTTCAAGATCTTGATAGATCAAAGTATCATGATGAAACGGTAATTTATTAACAACAAACATTAAACAATGTGATAAATGAGAATAGATACTTTGGATTGGATTATATATGGTAACTTCTTTCATTTTTGGAACAAGTTTCAGCAGGAGAGTTTATTAGAACCATTACCAGAGATCAAGATTAATGATCTAAATGATGCACATAATACAATAAAAACTTGCTTAAAGGAAATGGAAAAGATAAAGACATTTTTGGAAGACGAAAATTCTTGGTGGAAAATTTTGAAAGGTCGTTCGGTCGATTGTTGTCAACAAAAGTTACCACATCTTCATGGGGTTTTAGACGGATCATCAGTTACTTTAATGTTGCTTGAAGAAGGTACAGACGAGGTATACTCTCTTAAATTCGTAATTTTGTTTGGCAATAATGGATAAAGTACATTAACTCATCAATCAGTAATATAAAAAACTCTTTTTACAGTAATTGAAGAAAAGAAAGAATATAAATATTTGCAAACAATTTATATTTTTTGATAGGCTCCACGTCGTTTTGTGACATCAACACAGAAAGAAAACGTTAAGGCTACTGGCTCCAGATTCAGAACTTCTCCGAGAGAATGGACGAATAAGGCAAAGCAAACTGAGCAGTATACGAATCACCGAATGGATACACACATGGACGAGTATGTGGACTCTTACTGCACAACTCCACATTACAGTCTTGATACGAAATCAGCATTAATTGAAGTTACAAGGTAAATTCTCCGATCTGTATCTCACCTCGCTTTCATCGATAAATGCACGCATTTAGCGTATAGTTTGTTACACATACTATAGAAAATCAGAAGTAAATGCATATATGTCGATAAAAATGGGATGCCATGCATAATAAAAAATCAAAATTATTTATATTTATGCTTATCCATTAAATTTTAATACGTACAAATATAAAATAATTTTTTTTTTTTATAATTTTAATAATATAATTGTTTAAGTATCGATAGTCACGAACCGACTCAACGATACGTTAGAAGAGCTGTTATGAGTGAACAGAATATTGCTTCCGAATTTTGGACTGAAGCACAAGAAGATGGAAGCGATGAGCAGAAAACACCAGAGACATCTCATAGATTGAAAGAAACACGTGACAATATACAGTATGAAGATAAAGAGAAAAGGATCGATAAATCAAGTAGTAAAACGCAGAATTATTATACATATATTAGAGGTACAAAATAAATATTCCACTGTTTTTTTTTAATTTAATATTTATTGTCGAAACATAATTTCTTTTATTTTTTTTTTATATTTTAGGCAATTTATTATAAATTGCCAATTTGATAGATAGATTTTTATTTACGATTGAGCAAGTGTTTGAATTCTTTAAAACATTATTGCACAGAATGCTAAAAATCTGGATTCGACTTCTGGCCGAGGTAATATTTTTCGCAATGAAAAATTAATTATTTACAGTTTTAATAGGTTATTCAACATTAATAAGATCGATATAAGATGCGTAAACAGCATCAATAATTATAATCAATTGGTAATCAATTGAACTCGTGATATTACTGCGGTAGTTTATTACTGTTGCGTTTTAAGTCTGAAAAAATTTCAGCGCGCAATCGAAGAATTACATTCGTAGTATATAAATTCACACACAATTATTTAGATTTAGAAGCACCCGTGAAATTTAGGGTACGGTCAACGCGATGCTACAAATTCTTTGAAGCGTATCTTGATTAATCAATTTGTAAAATTCTTTCTTCTGGTCAATCAAACGCTTCAAAGCATTTGTAACGAGACTTTGACCTTTGACCGCAGTGGCATTCTCATTCGGTTTGAAATTTAGCGATCTAACGAGAATTGATATTGTTATTTTAACATTCATCTTCAAATATTGTTCAATTTAGCAAGTATGTGACCGAAACCAATGACGATCTTTGTATACATTGCATGTCGAATGCGGTAAAATATTCTATGTTATAATAATATATCTTTAGACAATTTCACCACACGAGACTTACTGAGCATCATAAGAAGCCGAACTTTGAGCCGAACTCATGGTAGATCCAATTGTATTATACAACGTTATTTTGACTTTAAACAGAGTTTAAAACTCTGACTTTCTTCTTTTAGATAGAAGGGGATCGATCCTAAAGTCATCTGTATTACCGACTAAACATATATAAGTTTTGTATAACAATTACTTTCTCGAGAATTTCTTTTTTAAAATTAAAGTAAAAGTAAACGCTTAGTGTTAAAGTATAATAACATTAGTACACAAATGGGTCTTAGTAAAAGGTATACGCTATTAGAGACTGCACACAATCAAAGGAATGAGCATAAGGGAACAGATAAAAGAATTTCTATTAGAAACTTTCAGTATTTCAATATATAGTTTTGATAAGTTGAAATTTTTATTTTGAATTTTGATTATTTTGAAATTTCAGATTCCTGTTTATTTGTACGTAGTCCTTTATACTTTGAAACTGTACCGACAACTCTGTCGGTAATCATATACAAGTTCTTCGGAATATTTTACCGTATTCTGCATACACACAAAGCGCCTTTACATTATTATTTATTCGGATTGATGTAGCACGTTTTGTCTGAATTTAACAATATTTGGAATTTAGAAATGTCGAAGAATTAAAAAAATGACTTCATGAATTCATCAGTAAAAATCAGTCTTTCTATTAAATTGGCATCATGCTTGTATATATAATATTTATATGTGTATTACATAATATATGTAACATACTATGTTATATTATAAATGTATTACTTTAGTTATAATATATTTATATATAATACATAAATTGATACTAAGTCAATAAAAGAATAGAATTATTAAAAAATTACTAATAATATTATTCCAAATTAAAATTGCATTTTCAACATATGAGTTTCAGTTGTGCCATCGAGAGAAATACGATGTGGTCAGGACACACAGATGACATTTGAAGATGCAGTGAAACCTCAGGAAACATTTTGCAGCAAAAATACTGAAAACAAGAAACAGATCACGAGTGATTTTGAATCAAACGTGGATTTAAACACGGTATATAAAAGTTATTTATAAATCGTATTTTTTAATATTCATTAATTCTGTCAATTATTCTGTAGAAAATTCCATCCAGAAATGTGTCAAGTCATAAACCGAGAGCAAAGGCGATCATTGAAAAAAGCGTTCGTTGTATTCCGACAAAACTTCCGATAAAAATTTTAAAAACTAAAAACAGAAATTAATATTTATTATGTATATAAAGATATAAATAAATTTTATGTACTGATATTTTGTATTAATAAATTTATTTTAAAAGTAAAATTATTATAAACTAATTTCAAAATTTTTTGGAACAATGCAAAATGTAATTATGGCCGGTATTCATAGTCGGTTCTTATTTCAAGATTGTCATAAGTAATGTCTTAAGGCGCGAATGCAGCCTTTTGATTGGTTCATGATTTTAAGACTGAACTTAAGACGGTCTTGAATATATAAGAACTGACTATGAATACCGGCCTATATGTCTGCATTTTGCAATTACTTGATATTATCAGATGTTTGAAATAAATCGATTGTATTTATCGAGTTTTTTTCTCACAACATTCAACTTTCAAATTTTAGTTTGCTGACTTTTGTCTATGTTTACAGAGTGACTTTACCATAATTAAAATATTTCATAATTTCGTCTTTATATCACAGAATCGTTAAGTTTTGCAGGGATCTAGGAAAAAGATTCCGAAATGTATGCACGCGATCGGATACTGGTAACCAGGTTGGATCAGATCATTAATATACAATTATTTATTATAAATTTTATAAATGTAAGCGATTAATAAATACAAAAAAAGGAGAAACAAATCTGCACTCTAAATTTACGCGCGAATTTAGACGCGTGAAATGAAGAAAGTCCTTATAATAGCGAGGAGTCCCGCTTTTAGTATTGACGATGAATTAAAAATGGGCTCAACGACCACCGTGATTCTTCGCGAATGTGCAATAATGAGATCTACGGTTTCCACTCCAATTACTTCGTGTAGAAGTATGAGTTAAATATGAAATTAAACTGTACAAACAATTTCTTGATTATGTATAAATTCAATATGTAGCAAGTAAAGACAATATTTATAAAACTTTTCTGATTGATTGATGATAGGTCGAAATGATCGAAAGCTCCAAAAAAGAATGCGCTGATAAAGAAAAAGATTCGGATTGAATTGAAAGAAGTTTAATTGAAATTTATAAGTCAACGAAAGACTAACAATAGAATTTGTAGAAAAAATTCAGCATGGAAATGAAAAATAAAGAATCGACATCTTTTGATGGGACTACTTATATCTTGACTTTTGAATCATTTGAAATGTCTTTGAAGAAAAATGAAGCTACATCAATAGTAGACAAGCGACCATTAGGATTGTGCGATTCTACAGAGAAAATTAAGTCGTCTTCCTTTAAAGGCAAATGTTCAAAATCGTGTACGAAGTCTAGAAAAACCAGTTTAAATGGGTACATATAACATTTGTTTAATAATTTATTTACCTAAGAATTTTAATTTTTGTTTAACTAATGTTTCTTCCGAAAATTTTAAAATTTTGACTAATAAAAGATCAATCAAGTTAAAGTTTAAATTAATCAACTTTGATCAATCATTATATACAAAATGTTAATTAAATATACCTGTGACATTTAATCAATATTTATTTAATACGCAATTATTAATTAATTATGCGACTACATATGTAGTTTTAATATTTTATAATAGTATATTGAGAAGAATATCGTGGACAAGTCAAAGATATTTGTGCATGTGTATATCCAGAGTATTTAATAAACAGTTTTCTACGTAGAAGCAACATCTTTACACATTTCTGCTCGAAGGCGGTCCGACCATGCCTAATGTCAATTATACATTTTGCATATTTCAGACTTCAAACATCAGACAAACCGCAAACGTTGCGTGAATCATCTTATCGTCAAAAGAACTCCGAGACAAAGCCCACAGGGGAAATGCCACTGTTCGCACAACTGAAAACGAAAATGAAAGAAACGTCAAGGAAGTTGCAGGTCTTTTTTTATTTCTCATCTTCGTTGGAATATTTTTGCACAAGTCGAAGAGAACTCAATAGCCAACTTCCAACAGAGCACCCTGCCATTTTTTAAAAAGACGACGAAGCGTACCATGACGAGAGTCAGATCCTTGTATGTCGGCTCCAGGGCAAAGCGAGTATTGGGATTCAAGTGCGACCTAAAAAAATGCAACAGTACGTTAATGGATTGTAGCGCAGGAGCTTGCAGAAAAAAGAGCATGATTTTTAGCGAATCCAATCAACCATGCAGTTCGAAAACGATCGATCGTAGCGTCAGTGACACTTCGATAAAATCGAGCTCAAGTGAAGGTTATACATCCTAAACTTACTATATAATCTCTTTAAACTATCTTTTTAATAATCGACTTGTTATTGTTATTTATTGTCGATTTAAGATTCGTCCTCATCGAAGTCGACCGTGCCAATCGGCATATTGGTTTTTTTCTTCTTTATAAAGAAAAGAAAAGAAGCCAGACTGCAAAAGAAGTCGGTCGACTTCAATCGAGACGAACCTTTAGATAATTTCTCATAAATTTGACTTCTTTAAAGTTTCGAAACATCATGTGATGATTCTTTTCGGAAAAAGGAAACGGAAAAAGGAAAAAGTCAGATAAATAAAGTTCAGAACGTTAGGTGCGTTGTCCAGTTTACGCAGGCGTTAAATACCGATATATCACTGTCTAGGCGTACAGCAGGCAAATCGACTTTTATCGCTTTATAGCGCTTGTAAGCCGCCCGCCATTCCAAGCTGCACGTGTAATCTGGAATGTAAAGAGCTCGTTATTACGGCGGCACTATTCACGATCGGGACTCCCAACTGACAACCAGACTACACGTTGATAGGCGGATATGACCGCGATATTTTCTGTGAAGCGAGAGTTATCGCTTGATCAATTCTTTTTTTTTTTCGTACGCTAGAAAATTTCAATTATACCCAACGAAGCACATATCTCACCTCCTACCCCTCCTATTCTTTATAAATTCTTGCGCTACTATCCAACGCTAAATGATAAACAAAAATTATACATATGTTTTATTATACCTTGAAAAAAATCAAAGAAGTGCATATGCAGCAACATATAGCGTAATTAAATCAACTGTTATAAAAATATCTTATAATAATATATATACGTTGTACTAATAATCATTTTCGGAAAAAATTTATTTCATAAATATAAGTAACAAGGCTCAATAAAAATTAATAATATGATACAGAAGAAGGTACTACAAGAAGATACTACGAGTTTAATAAATTAGTTTGAATTTAACAAAAATTAACATAAACCACACACACATAAAATCGTTTAATTTAATAAAATATAAAACCAAACAAAAGTTTTGACTCCGATCGGATTATTTTCAATGTTTAAAATACACTATTCAACAAAATTAAAGCATCACCTATTCCACCATTTCTACCCTGCAAAAATAGGTAAACTTGAATAAAATAACTTCGTCAAAAATCATCATCAAGATGTTTATTATAAAAGCACTTTAAAGTTTGAAATCTTTATTTTTCAGACCGGCATTTCAAAAAACGATTTTACTGATATTTCGTGAAGTTACATAAAAACATAAATAAAGATGCGTCAAACCTTAAAATTTTTTGAGAAGTTCCACGACGCGAACTAAAAATTGTGCATAAATGCTGTTTACAGTTTTCGAAAGATTGAATCTTATTTAATTTACTTTTTTTACGATTTTTGTACGATTTTTTTTCACCAAGTTATTCAACGTTGAAGTAAAAATGACCTCTTTTGCTTCTCAACGTTGAATAAAGGTCGGGAAAAATGCAAATTAAAGGTAAAAATTCACACTTTCGAAAGCTGTAAATCGTATTTGTGCACAATTTTTAATTCGCGCCGTAACTTCACAAATTTGTATAAAATTTTTAGATTTGATGCATCTTCATCTTTGTGTAACACCATGAAATATCGGCAAGACCATTTGCTTAAATAACTTTCTAAAAAGTAGAAATTTCAAGCTTTTAAAACTGCTTTTTTAAACATCTCGATACGATGATTTTTGACAAAGTTATTCTATCTCGAAGTTTGTCTATTTTTGTAGGGTGGAACAGGTAATGCTTTAATTTTGTTGAGTAGTGTATAACGATTATAAAATGCATACATAATTTTTGTGTCCTTGACTATGTTACAAGTAATCGGTCAAAGACATAAAAAATAGAGAATCAAACACATCTTATATGTCCTTATAAAATTATATTTTAAATACTAAGAAAATGATCCGAGATCGGAGTCGAAACGTTTGTTTGTTTGGTTTTATATTTTGTTAAATTAGACGATTTTATACTTTATTTATTATTATGATTTATATACTTATTTTTGTTAAATTGAAACGAATTTGTTATCGTAGCCCTTCTTCTGTATCATTATTTAATTTTATTTGATAGTCTACATTTTAGTTAGTTTTTAGCAAAAATCTAAGTTAAACCGACGGCACACGAAACTTGTTTTTCTGCTGGATTAGAATCTTGCCATCATATTGATACTGACAGTGCCAGCGTCGCAGCTAATACGGTGGCAAGATTCTAATTCAGCTAGCAATCCAGAAGAAAAACAAGCGTTCTGTGCTTTAATTCAATTTAATTAATTTGTTTGGAAAAAGTTATTTTATTGATATTTTTTATTAGCTGCTTAACGTCTATATTCGTAATCAAGGGACAAAGATGATTTATGCGTGACTTGTGCACCCAAATCGAGATCCCTCCGCTCTCATCCGCGCGGATCGCATAAATCGCGTGTTTTCCTTCTTATTGGCTGATTGAATAATACATGTAACCGAATAGTATTAAACCGGCTGAACGGGACACGCAAGGTCCATGACGCCTGTCATGTCGGGCGGGTCATGCGTCAGCATTTTGACGAGTTGTTTAGGTCGATCAATTTATCGCTTAAGATACACACGGAATGGCTGTTGCGCCTGTATTTGTCGATGCAGAATTAACGACGTGATGTAAGATAAGGCCGCGGATTTATGAACGCTGCCTACAATCAATTCATCATTTCTCCGTCCATTATATGTCCGTCTCAACATTGGGCCATTCGATCGACGCGTCACGTGGTGCTGGTAATTATTATTTACATTATTACTTGTATTTGTGAAATAAGAGACACCTCAGTCAATATTCACTTAACCTGACGAGGATTTGATAAGTACACGTGGAAAATTTCTTCGCCATTTTTTAAATTCATTTAGTTGTTCGAAAGGTGATAGACGCTCGCGACGCGCCTCTTATACCATTACCAGTATTTTTATGTAGAATGAGACATTATAGTTGAGTCAAGCGTACGGCTCTAATGGCCATCGACATCCGTAAACGTGCGCAAGAAATTATGGTACAAGCGAGACGTCAAAGTACTGAATAATATACAATTTCCATTACGCTTGAGTTTTTTTTTTTTTTTTGCAAAACGCATTTCTGCGAAGACATCGCGGATTTCTATGCGATACCAAGTATGGTATAGATGCACCCATATGGAGGAGACTTTCGCGTCGTATTAACCGCGTGTGCAATTTCGCGACCAAGTGCACCAAAAATATTATTATTTCGATGCGCATGAACGGCGAACAGAGGGAAAAATATTAATGACAGAGTATTACGAGGCCGAGTGCAAAAATCACCGCTAAATCACCGGCCGGCTGCCTATAATCTCGCCTATTCAGCGTAATTTATTACGCATTGATATTTACAATCCTTTATGGTTAATATCTCTCTCCGTGTCGCGACGATTGCCGCGCGCGAGCCGCTGGTAATGCGAAACCTCCTCGTTCGAGGACCGACGATGGTCCCCGAGATTGCATATTTAACGCGCGCGACCAACAAATTGACCTTCCTAGCGTCCCATTATACAACATTTGCGAATCAATCAAGACAAGTGGGCGGCGAATTTGCATCTAATTATAGTGCACGTGGAATATATCCAAAAGGTGCATTATATATTATTTCTTTGATCTCTTGCGAAACGACCGAACATTGTGCGTTGTATATATACCTTAATAATTAAATTACTTACATTGAACTGCAATTGAAGAGTAAAATATTGACACGATCGAGTTACGGATAATTGCTCTCAAAACAGCTATCTCGTATGATTCTTTTGAATTCATAGAGATTTATTAAAGTGTATAAAGTCTTTTCTCACGATTTCGTGACTCGTTCTAATCTAAATAAATCAAAAAATGAGAACAGAATACAAACTAAACTTCAATCTAAATTCGTCATCAGTGTCGAAGATTGATTGGTTATATCTTGATGACGTTGGTTTTTCCCGACGTTGGTTTTTTGTGTGCTTTTAATTTCGTATGCCTATTCCTAGTGAATTTACTGCCGCACTAAGAGAGAGAAAGAAAGAGAGAGAGACAGAGAGAAAGAGAGAAAGGTAGCCCCTCGACACACACAAGCGGAGCTCCAGCCGTTGCATAAATCACAATGAAACGCATGGCTCATTATACTTGCAGGCACTCGTGTAATTGCGACGGGCGTGTCCGTATTTACCCGTGCAGATCTGTCGGGCCGGCTGCTTGCCGAACATTATCGCCGCGTATGTGTTTGCGAGTTTAGTTTCTATTCTTTTTCCTTCCTTTCTTTTTCGCCGTGCGTCCACATATCTCGCACTCTTCTCTGTCTCACTCTTTCTCGTTTCAGCTCCACCCACAACTTCGTGTGTATATATATAAATATATAGGATATATATATAGGATAAAAGAGTGCTTTTGGTGATCGGAAATGGAAGACCGGATATGGGTGTGATGCATAACGCGGTCTTAAAAGTGTATAACGCGGAATTATACGTTTTTATTTGCATAAATGGTTCGTGCCGATCCTGACCGGAGCTGGCATCACGGCTGCCTCCTCAACTGAGACGTGAAGATGCACCGTAGTTCCGATCCTACGGATTATTTTCAAAATCGATGATAGCAGCCTTAGATCTGACATCAGCACATGTATAATGATGAGAGATGGGGTTGAAATGTGCAATTTTACGTGTCGATCACGATCCATTATGACGAATTCTCTTGGGCTTGGCCAGCAACGTTCTAAGAAAACTGTGAAATTATCTTCATGATTACAAAAAGCCTGCTAGGTAATATCTGGCAAGCTTTTGAACTTTTATGCCTTTCAATATTTCCAAAGGTACTTTAAGACGGAGAATACAGGATATAGGGCGAATTGTGAATAGAAAAAGGCTTACATTAAGCGTTTGAAGGCAAACGAAAATGCCGAGTCATTCGTGGCAACAATAGATTCTCAAGAATAAGGAGTAATAATTAATTTTACAAACTGTCACTAGAAAATGCTATAGAAAAGTAAGTTATAAGCAAAGAAAAATAAGATTAGAAAAATAGATATATTAACTTTGAAGGTGGCCTTTCGTGACAGCTTCATTTTTCAATGACACCGTAGTGATAGATTATTATATTAATCGATGCTATTGAAGTATTTGCATAAAATGAAATTTATCCAATAGAATTTTGAATACCTAACCCTATGGGAAAGAAGTAGATTAAGTAATATAGCAAATCTTTAACTTACTGCACAAATGTAACATCTGTAAAAAGATTTAACAAATGATGACAAATTGCTAATGTTATTCAGCTGTCAACTTTGCTACTGCAACATAGAAAACTGACTGTTCGTATATATTACTGTAGATTTGCTGAATCAGCGTTTTAAAGTAAGCTTTTAGCTGTGTCATTTCTGTGTCATTTTCAATCAGCTAAACAACAGTGTGAAATAAAAAGTGCGCTATTCAACAATTGAATTTTTATTTTTAATGAAGGTGCACAATATTTTATCACTATGGGTTTAATAATAAAAATTGTACTATGACATATAGGTTAAAGACTCATTCTTATCGAAGTCGATCGTGTTTTTTCTTCTTTTTTCTTTAAAAAGAAGAAGGAAAAGTCAATATGATTTGATGGGAATGAACCATTAAGATATACAAATTTATAAATATTATGTTAACGAGATACGGTAATATTTGCATAAAATGATTTTCTTACGAATAAGCTAAAATTTTTTTAATACAAGCAAATTGAAGTGCT